TTTTATTCTTCATCAAAGTTGAAACTTAGTACTATTATGATGAATTATTTTACTTTCAATGTATAAAAGTTATAGTACTAAATTTTTCAGGAAAAATTTAATTTTTTTTTTCGACAGCCTATATTATATACTTTTTCAATGATGTATATATTGTCAATTTTTCAATGATCTATATATATTAAAATAATAATTACTAAAACCCTGCATTTTAAAATTTTTTATCAAAAATACATTAAAAATCTAACTTCAAGAAGCCACTACCATTGAGCCTTTCACATTTAAAATTTTATTGGAAAATTCTTAGTGAGGTTTTAGAAAAAAATTCATAGTGGCTTCAAACATTATGTCTGATAGTGGGTGAAAACCCACTATCAGACATAATGTTATTAGTCACTATGAGTTCACTTTTTTGATTTTTAGCCTTGTCATTTCCAACTGTACAGTGGTGGGAATCAACTCAGCTTACATTTTGTTATATTTGTTTTATATTGAGTTAAAATTTTTTACATCATATTTAAGTCCTAGACTTGGTTGCATATTTTGTTAAATTAATCAAATTTCTCAAATAATTTAACAATTTTTTATCATAAATTATTACCTATACATACATTTATATAAATAAGTTGAAAATATTTCGAAATGAATATATATTTTTTAATTTTTATATAATTTCGCTTCATTTGAGTACCAGGTTGACATATTTTTGAAATCTTTTTTTTCGAAAATATTAGGACCCATTAAATATTCGAGGATCTTGAGGGGCCCCTTAAAATATTTTTTATTCAAAAAAAATTTAAACCTAGCGTCTTTGCATTAGATAGAACACATCTAGGGGGTGAGAGCAGATTATTTTCAAAAATGTTTTTTTTGGGACACCCTAATATATATATATATATATATATATATATATATATATATATATATATATATATATATATATATATATATATATATATATATATATATATATATATATATATATATATATATATATATATATATATATATATATATATGTATATATATATATATATATATATATATATATATATATATATATATATATATATATATATATATATATATATATATATATATGGGCCCTGCAAATTGGCAGTTTTTGTTTCAAATCGAATCTCGAATCAAAGCAGGTCTTAATTCACGATTCAAATCACATTTCGAATCAACATTTTGAATAGCGCCAAAGCACAGAATATCTAAAATACCCACAACAAAAACAAAATAAGTAAGGATTTGATTAATGAAAATTTTCAAATCGAATCTCGAATCATTTTTTTGATTCGATTCGAAATTTCGAAGCTTCGCAGTGCCCTAATATATATATATATATATATATATGCATAAATAATACTTAAATAAGATTTAAATAAAATAATAATAAAAAAAAAACAAAGAAAAAACTAACGTTTTACTAAAATTCTTTATAATTAATATAAAATCAGCAAAACTAATTTTTTATTTAAATTCTTAATATTAATGGTAAAATGCTGTTCTTTTTTCAATTTTTTAAGCAAACGTCAGCGTTAAATGGTCACTAAACTCAATGTTTATTTTTCTGTCAATTTTATGCTAAATGTTTGCACGTTTGTCAATTTGTTGAACCCTGATTCTAGATTTTGTGAAGACCTGGTGCTGATCCAAAACAATCCTAAGTTGGCATTTTTTTTCCAACCTTATTTTTTCTAATTCTGATATATATATATATATATATATATATATATATATATATATAATATATATATATATATATATATAATATTGCATACTTTGATAAGCAGTCTGGTGTCATACTGAAGTAGGGGCTGCCAGGAACTTCAGTACATAAATTGACTGACTAATTAAGAAAAATATACAAGTGTATATTCTTATTTAGTCGGTGCTTATACATCAACTTAAGGTTTTAGTTTGGGTTTACAACAATTGTTTTCATTGTTTTTTGTATTTTCTTTTTCTGAAAAAGCTGGACGAAATAAGAAAAAATAGTCAGCAAATGTATTGTACCACCCCTAATTATTTTTTAAATTAATTCTTAACCTATTCAATTTTTTAAACCAATCAAATATGTATAAAAAATTTTTGCATATTTATGTTGTAAATACTAAAAAAGTTTCCAATTTTTTTTTTTTAGTTATTTTGGAAAAATTGAACTACCCACTCTTGGAAAAATGAAGAGAGTTAATCTGTTAATAGTGCTTGTGGTTTTTAATCTTGATAGTAAGCCCAAGTAAAGTTGTTTTTTTCTCAACTCTATATTAAAAATTTTTCTGCATGATTTATAAAATTTACATTAAATTTTTTTGCATAATTTTACAATATTATATCTGAAATATCTTATATTGCGATTTTCTTATATTATTTTACTTATTATAAAGATTTGATTTTTTTGGCAACATATTTGTATGAAATTTTTTATTTTGCAGGGAAAAGTGTGGAAAAGGTTCTTTGGTAAATTTAGTTTCAGATGCAAAAAAGTATGGTTTAAATGTTCAATGCAGGGATAAGCCTAGGTATCTATTTATTATTGACATGCTAAACATATGTTAGTACAGCATATAAAACATACTCTACTGGTGTTATCTTCATCAGTTTTTTAAACTAATTTTTCACAAATTCAGAAGATGGTGTTTATTTTTAATTGTCAATAAAATATATTTTATTTCACTTAATTTGTTTTATTTTCATTTATATTTCTTTTTTGAATATCATTTATATTTATTTTGTCTTTTTTGAAGCAAATCAACATACTACATAACAGAATTCAACTAAAATAAAATGCAAAACAAAACTAAAAAACAAAAACTGGTTTTCAGTATAGGTGCTGATTTCAACAAAGTTTTGAATTTATTAATAAATAAACTTGTTTATTAAGTTGTGCTTTATTTACATTTCCATTTATCTATGATATTTTGATATTGATGACAAAAAGAATTAAAAAAAAAAAGAAATAAAGTCTTAACCCAGTTATAAAAAACATTTATTTTTGATGGATATATATTTGTTTTTAAATAAAACTTCAACAATTCCAAATTTTATAAAGATTTTGGCATTTTAAAGATCAACTCACCAAAATAAGACTTTTTGTTTGATATGGTCATTTGAATGTAGTTTATGATTTATCATAATTTTATCATAATTTATGATTTATCATAATCCCATTTCCCTAGAAGTGGGTTAACAACCATTTCTTGAGGGTTTTCTTTTTGTACTCCTATTACTGTTGCTTAGTTGAATTTAAAAAATATGCTAAATTACAAGATAAGATAAGCGTATAAAAGATAGCAAACAAAAAATATTGATAACATAATACTGGTGAGCTTTTATTTTTGTCTAGATATTTTTCCACTAGCTCATGTGCTATTGGATTATTTGATTAAATTCTGATATTTGATTGTCTCAAAAATAGTTTGTGTCACCTGTTAACTAAATTCTGATCAATATTATCTTTATTATTATCTTATTCTTATTGGCTGATTATTTTTTAAATTCTGATCAATATTAACTTTATTATTATCTTATTCTTATTGGCTGATTATTTTTTAAATTCTGATCAATATTATCTTTATTATTATCTTATTCTTATTGGCTGATTATTTTTTAAATTCTGATCAATATTAACTTTATTATTATCTTATTCTTATTGGCTGATTATTTTTTAAATTCTGATCAATATTATCTTTATTATTATCTTATTCTTATTGACTGATTATTTTTTAAATTCTGATCAATATACTAATTATAAATAATGATGAAATGAGATGATCATCTCAATGTTAATTGTGTTAATCAATACTAGTGGTATTAACAAATAATTATCATTAATTGTATAATTATATAATTACCACTTATCATTGGTTACTCAGCTAAATAACAATGATTGTTATCATCAGTTAATCAACCAATGATCATCAGTGATTCAGTTAAATGATGTCAGTTTTTTGTTTAAATATTTTTCATTTGTTTATTTCATTTAAAACTTTGAGTTTGTTATTATACTACCCAGTTTTTGTTTTTCTGCATGCAATTAAATTTTATAATTTATATAGTGACACACTGTTTTTATTGTGCGCAAAGTATCCACAAGCAAGGGAGTGTGTTAAGATGTCAAATGATGCTGGTAAACCAATGTAAGTAATGCAACTAGACCAGAAATAAAAGTTATTTAGAAGATATAAGTGTGTGTATATATATATTACACACACACACACACACACACACACACACACACACACACACACACACACACACACACACACACACACACACACACACACACACACACATATGTATGTATATATATATATATATATATATATATATATATATATTATATATATATATATATATATATATACACATATATATACATATATATATATATATATATATATATATATATATATATATATATATATATATATATATATATATATGTGTATATATGTGTATATATATATATATATATATATATATATATATATATATATATATATATATATATATATATATATATATATATATATATATATATATATATATATATAAAATATATAACTTTTTCGTATAATGCTGTTCAACGGATTCCTAATTAGCTTTCGCTGATTAGGAATCCGTTGTCTATCATACTCTACTACTTGGAGAACATCTTGAAGTTGCTTCTCATCCCTAGTTACTCCTAAAAAGTCATGGCACACCTTTACACCATGCTCTGCCACCTTGTTTACCGCCTGAAGTTTGTTGATAATCAGCTTCATGTTTTGATAGTCTTTCCTATTAATCCAATCATGCGCTGGAACATAGAGGAATTTATAGGGCATACCAAAAATGCGAAAAAAATCTGAATGAGTCCGGCCCAATTTGGTCAACTAAAGAAGTACCATATTCTATTGTAGGAGGAAGATAGGGCTTGCCATATCCCTCAAAGTCAAGTCCAACTCTCTTTGTGACAGAAGTCTTTTCAAAGATAAGAATAGATTTCCTCA